AACGTGTAAAAATTTGAAATCGAATGGGTTATTAGTTCTTGTGTTATCGTGCCCGCCATTCGCAAAAAAAAAAATGTTTAGAGAAAAGCGTTTAAAGTTTGAGAAGCCCTTCAGCCGTCACTTGATGCTGACACAATAAATCGGCTATATCTTCAAGAGAAAAATGAGATTTTCATTTGAAATTTTGTAGGGACATTCAATTAGTGTAGATTTTATATCAACAAAATTTTTGACGGCCGAGAAACATATTTCGATTTAAAAAATATTTTTTTCGAAGATCACAAATAAACTTTTAGAAACAAATTTCGAAGTCTTTAAAAAATATTTTTGAAGAAGTTCTGAGCGAGGTTTAAAAAAATAAATTTTTAAAGACTTCCAAAGCGAGGATTTAAAGAAATCGAAGATCACCTAAGCGGAGTTTTTTAATTTTTTTTAAATACCACCATTGGAAGGAAATTTCATTGAAGAGCCAGATTTATATATACAATATTTCATTAAAACACGAGTATTTAAAAATCGTGCTTAGTCCTTGAGAAAATATTCTTAAACAAATCCAGGCTCAGAGGTCTGCTTAGTTCTTTAATATTGGAGAACATATTTAAATATTAATGTTTGTTAAAAATTGACGTGTGGAGGTCATTGAGAAAATATATTAAAAAAAACACGAAAAACTAGTTCTTGAGAACATTTATTACAAAATCCACTTTGGAGCTCATAAAAAATATTCAGGCTTTTGGGTTTTTTGAGATTAGAGGTTATTGAAAATATATTAAAAACCAGTGAGCGAGGCAGTATAGTCAGGCAGGACCGACCATATGATACCTACACTGGATATATTATTTACCTCACTGGCCTTTGTCCTTCAGGAGTAAATATATACGTTATAGAATTCAAATTTTATAATTTTTCACACATTTGAAGTCCATTTGAAGCGCTAAACATTGATCAATTTTCATCAAAACTGTCATGCTTATTCTTTGGCCAAATGCTTTTCCACATGTATAATTCGGTTATGTTTGGATCAGAATTGTGGCCTCTAGAGCGACCAGAAAAACAGAGAAAAAAGTTTTTGGTCAATTTCATCCATCTTAATATTAACCTATCATTACTAAAAATAATAGGCCAGAACCCGTCCTACATTCAAAATTTCATGATGATTGGCCCATTACTGTGGCCTGTATCGTGTTATAATGGACAAACGGATGGACACACATGTCCAGATCGAATCAGCTAGCTGTGATATGACATTCGGTATACTTAACTCAAACTCTTGGGCCGCACAAAGCTATAATACCCTGACAACATAGTTGGGTAAGGTATAAAAATACACATTTCTGCTATTTGAGGTCTATTGGTCCCTGAGAAATTATTTTTTTAAAGGTGCAGGTTTTTTAAAAAAATATCTGCTACTAATTGAGAAAACGATTTGTAAAAATCCACTATTGGAGTTCTAGTAGTCATGGAGAAAATATTTTTAAAAATCCAGACATAGGAGCTCTAATACTTACTTAGCTGGCTTGTGACAGAACGGTTTTTCCATGATGCGAGTTTAAAAAAGATTTCCAGACGCGTCGGTATTGCGCGCAGCTCTTCCAATATGTTTCGAAATGTTCTCTTCCACTTGATCTTGGTTAGGTCACAACATGACCTAACCAACGTTGTCGCTGCAGCTCGATACGTCTGACAGTGCCGATGTCCGAGAATAGATGGTACAACTCATGGTTCATTAGACAGCGATATTCACCGTCAACACAGATCGGCCCATAGATCATTAGGAGAATTTTTCTCTCAAAGTCTCCAAAAGCTGTCTCGTCTGGTTGTGTAAGTACCCATGCTTCAGATCCATATAACAGCACGGGTAGTTGTAGAGTGTGAGTTTGGTCTGGCGGACCATTATAGCATCTTTTGGCCAACACTTTTTTCCTCCGGATTTCAAAGCTATCACATTAGCTTTGTTTATGGCGGCACCAAGGTATATAAAATCTTTGTCTACCTCGAAGCTGTAGTTCTCAAGTTCCACAGTTGGTCCGAGTCTACTGGACGTCTTGGGAGTTGATACCATGTACTTGGCCTTCTCGTCATTTACTGCCAGACCCACTTTGGCAGACTCCTTTTCAATTTGTTCAAAGTTGGCTCTTACCTCTCGCAATGTTCCATATCATCGGCGTAGGCTAGCTCTAATACTTCTTGAAAACAAAAATATTTTTTTTAATTTCATTTTTGAAGGTCTAACTGTCCTTGAGAAAATATTTGATGAATTTTTAACGCAAAGGGGGATTTTCTTCTTGAGAAAATATTAAAAAAATCGACGTTTGGTGGTCTAGGGAAAAATTGAGAAAAATTTTTAAAAAATCCTTGCTCGGAGGTCCAACAATGTTCTTCTTCTTATAAAAAGTACTCGGTTGAAAAAATATTTGTGAAGTCCTTCATTTTTCGTTTTTAAGAAAATCGACTTCATCGAGAAAATATTTTAGAAAAATAGCTTCATAGTCTAATAGACTCTGTGTCATTTTTGTGTATCTGAACGCTATTGTTATCGTTTCAGTAGATATTGAAATGAAGTCCATTCACAGCTTACAAAATCGTTTCATACATCGCGGATTATCTGTTTTGTGTTTAGTTATGATTTGCTAGACACCCCTTCCCAAATAAAATAAAAATAAGTCTTGTGGCATTTATAGATGCTAGAAAATAATTCTGTAAGTGTTTAGTGTTGTAGTAGCCCCCGTACTATTTCATAAATGTAAACAAAAATCCTTACTCTACAAAATCCTAAATTCCAACATTTTTCACCCATTGGCAGTTCATCATGCAAAGCTTTGAAATTGAAAAGAAAAAAAAAATAATGTCTTAAGAATTGTTTAAGTCTATATCTTTTAAAGAAATAAAAATAATTTAATAGTTTAATAGTTCAAGCAATAAATAAAAAATTGCAAAACCGAAAAAAAACTAGAATAGTTGAAGAAAAAAGAACAAGAACAATATTTAAGTGAACAAAAATAAACATGACATGACATCCTCCTTCAAATGCAAAATTTGGAATATAAAATTCCATTTTCTTAAAATGTATTCCATCTAAATATAAAAATTTCCAAAACATAAAGTTATATAGTTGTAATTAAACAATTAAAAAATATATAAATGTATAATTTTAAAATGGTGTTGTTGAGAAAAAATAAAAATAATAAAAAATATATATAAAAATTAAAACAAATGGTTTCTTTTTATTTCTCATATATATTAGAAAAACAGCCAATTTTTTGGAACATTTGCAAATAAATGATTGTCTTTCCACAATTTTTATAGTACTAGGTTAGAAATTAAAAAAAAAACACAAATTAAATATTAAGAAAAAAATATTATAAATAAAAAATTTTAAATAATTAACAAAATAATAGTGTGTACCATGTGTCCTTTTGTGGTGGTCATCTCTGTGAGTCTGTGCGTGTTTTTATGAGTGAGTTTGTGACCTGTGATGCATTGTCTTCTGTATGTTTTGTATGTATGTCCAAACGATGTAAACTAAAATAAAAATATATAATGCAAATAAATAAAATAATATATTTATAATTTATAAAAAAATACAATATGAAATGTAAATGTTGTGCAATTTATTTATATTTTTTTTAAATCATCACAATTTATTTATAAAAAATAATAGTAACATTTGATATTGGGTGAATGGTTTGTAATATGTATGTATGTCGTACACACACAATAATATATTTAATGGTGAATTTGTTCAACTTAAAAATAATATATAATAACACTTTAATAAAGATAAAAATCAATCTGCAAAAAATAATTTTATTTTAAATATAAAAAATTAATAGCTTAACTGTGCTTTGTCTATGAATTTATTATAGTATAAATAATTAGTATATAAGTGTTAATATTTTAAGACAAGTGTAAGTATTCAATTTTAAGTTTTCATGAGATTTAAGAGAAATTTGAAAATAATCTCAAACAAATATAAGAATCCGTACTATTGCCCTAACATAATATATATAATAAAATGATATACGAATATCATACGGAATAGGGGAGAAGAAAAATCCGTCTGAAAGTTCTTTGTAAAAATCCACGCTTTTTAAAAATTACACTTAAAGGTCTGAAAGTCCTTTGAAGAAATCCACGCTTAAAGGTCTGAAAGTCCTTTGAAGAAATCCACGCTTAAAGGTCTGAAAGTCCTTTGAAGAAATCCACGCTTAAAGGTCTGAAAGTCCTTTCAAGAAATCTACGCTTAAAAGTCTGAAGTTATTTGAAGAAATGCACACTTGGAGGTTTTAAAGTCCTGTGTAGAAATCCAAGCTAAAAGATCTGAAAGTCCTTTGAAGAAATCCACGCTTAAGAGTCTTAAAGCCCTTAGTAGAAATCCACGCTTAAGAGTCTTAAAGCCCTTAGTAGAAATCCACGCTTAAAGGTCTGAAAGTACTTTGAAGAAATCCATGTTTAAAGGCCTAAAAGTCCTTTGAAGAAATCCACGCTTAAATGTCTGAAAGTCCCTTGAAGAAACCCACGCTTAAAGATTTGAAAGTCCCTTGTAGAAATCCACGCCTAAATGTCTGAAAACCTCTTGTAGAAATCCACGGTTAAATACCTGAAAGTCCGTTGTAGAATTCGACGCTTAAAAGCTTGAAAGTTCTTTGGAGAAATCCACGCTTAATTATGTGAAAGTCCTTTGAAGAAATCCACTCATAAAGGTCTGAAAATCCTTTGTAGAAATCCACGCTTTAAGCTCTGAAAGCCCTTTGTAGAAGTCTTAAAAAAATAGTTCCTGATTATTTTAAATTTGATTATCCTTGACATATGAACATTAACAACTTTTGACTGAAATAGTATTTAATTATTTGTTAGAAAAAATCCTTTGAATTTCTTCCTGTAATCTCATGAAAACCTAATAAATACTCTTCCCCTCTCCCAAAGTTTAAGTTAACAAATTCGGCAGTTTTTCTCTATTTTGCGATGCAATTTTGTTTTTTCTTTTTTATTTTTTTCAGGATGAAACTCCACAAGGCTTCTTTGATGATCACGGTCTGGGATAAATCTAAACAGTACGAAAAAAAAAAACAAAAAAATGGTACTCAGTGGGTGTGTGTTAGTACAACAAATGTAAACCTAAATGCTGTCCTTAAACAAAACAAAATCTAAAGAAAAAAATCAACAACATATTTTTGACAATGTTTTTCAAAAGATAAAAAAAAAAAATTAAAATCTCCTGCCGCACCTCCTCCATAACCAACCAAAAACATTTAAGGAGTGCTTTTATACAATATTATTATAATTCTATATACACTACTATATCTCAAAAATATCTATGTACCAACCACCAACTTTAAATATCACTGAAAACCAACCCCCTCTGCCCCTATCCACCCAGCTATATAACATAAAAATTTGTTGTATAACCAAAATATTGTAATATGTATCTACATGTGTGTGCGTAGTATTATTAAAAAACAAAAAACACAAAAACAAAGAAGATGGCCTTAATTCTACTTAAGTTTTAAACGATTTTATAAAATATAATTATTTTTTTTTAATTTTCTTGTAATCCACTTTAGCACAAAATAATGAAAGAAAAAAGAAAGAAAGAAAAAAGACACAGTCGAAACTCTATTAAATTGGAATTTTGTTAGTTTTTTGTTTTTATTTTCATAAATACATTTTTTCTCATTTTCATTCCAAAAAATATATATTTAATATAATTGTGTGTATAGTCGCATAATAAATACTAAAAAATAAAATAAAAAACAATTACATATATAAAACATTTATTGTAATAAATATTTGCTCAATAAAAAAATTGTGTGTTTTATTTAATGGGAAAATTAGGGAAACAAATAAGAGTCCTTGAAAAACCAGGATTGGAGGTCTGAAAGTACTTGAAAAAATATCCATAGAAAAATCCTTATTTGATGGGCTAATAGTCATTGATAAAATATCCTTAGAAAATTTGTTATTTGGAGGACTAAATATATTCATTTAAAAATCCACGCTTGGAGGACTAATATTCCTTGAAAAATATCCTTAGAAAAATCCTCACTTGGAGGACTATTAATCCTTGAAAAATATTAATTTAAAAATCCACTCTTGGAGAACAAATAATACTTGAAAAAATACTCTTTAGAAAATCGACGCTTTGAAAGCTAATAGGCCTTGAAAATATATTCAATTAAAACCCATTTAAAAATCCACTTTTAAAGGGTAAGTGGTCATTGAAAAATATTAATTTTTAAATCCACGTTTAAAGGTCTGAAAGACCTTTGAAAAAATCCATTTTTAAAGGTCTGAATGTCCTTTGGAAAAATCCAAGCTAAAAGGGCTGAAAGCTCTTTGAAGATATCCCCGTTTAAAGGTCTGAATTTCCTTCGAAAATATCAACGTCTGAATGTCCTCTGAAAAAAATCCACTTCAGTTAGTCTGAAAGTTCTTTAAAAGTCCCATAAGATGTCTGAATGTCCGCATTAAGGTGTGAAAGTCCTTTGAATAAAATTACCTTCTAAGGTCTGAAAATCCTTTGAGTTCCAAGCTCGGAGGCCTGCATGTCCTTTGAAGAAATCCACACTTAAAGGTCTGAAAGTCCTTTGAAGAAATCCACGCTTAAGAAAAAATATTCCTTGAAAAAATATCCACGTGTTCGATAGTCCTAGAAAAAATATCCACGCCTCTTGTATTGGTCCTTGAAAAAATATCCACGCCTTGTATTAATCCTCGAAAAAATATTCTTTTAAAAATCCACCCTTGTATTAATCCTCGAAAAAATATTCTTTTAAAAATCCACGCCTTGTATTAATCCTCGAAAAAATATTCTTTTAAAAATCCACGCCTTGTATTAATCCTCGAAAAAATATTCTTTTAAAAATCCACGCCTTGTATTAATCCTCGAAAAAATATTCTTTTAAAAATCCACGCCTTGTATTAATCCTCGAAAAAATATTCTTTTAAAAATCCACGCCTTGTATTAATCCTCGAAAAAATATTCTTTTAAAAATCCACGCCTTGTATTAATCCTCGAAAAAATATTCTTTTAAAAATCCACGCCTTGTATTAATCCTCGAAAAAATATTCTTTTAAAAATCCACGCCTTGTATTAATCCTCGAAAAAATATTCTTTTAAAAATCCACGCCTTGTATTAATCCTCGAAAAAATATTCTTTTAAAAATCCACGCCTTGTATTAATCCTCGAAAAAATATTCTTTTAAAAATCCACGCCTTGTATTAATCCTCGAAAAAATATTCTTTTAAAAATCCACGCCTTGTATTAATCCTCGAAAA